TGGTTGCGCATCTAAGGGATGATCACAAGGTGGACATGCATACAGGATGCACTTTCAACCATCGCTATGTGAAGTCTAATCCCCGTGAAGTGGAGAATGCCACTTGGATGTTGACGGTAATTCTACCATTGCTTTATATGTTCTTTAACCAGTTTTGCATGTAGAACAATTTTACAAGTCATGGTTAATTTGTTATAGAATATTTCTCTAACTGGGGGTGCTGACATATGGAACTTGAAGCCAACTTATGTCCTCTCTGCTAAACCTTAGTTCCAAACCAGTTGGAGTAAACATCATTAGCGTTTCAAATACGTAATTGAATTAACAGTTGACAAACCATCCATGGAAAGGAGTTCTATAAATTTTTTTCCAGGTATTGATGAAAAGAAACTGAATTTGGATCCCTGCCATATAAGAGGCAAGTAGTTTTACACTGGCTGTCAACCTCCCAAATTCAGATCCTTGCACAAAGAAAGATTTGTTGAAGCTAGGTGAACTAAATTAGTCTGCAGGCTTTTCTTCCTGCATGTAGTTTGGTATTGAGTATTGACACTTGGATTTTACTTCCTCCCCAAAATATCAGAAGAAAAGAAAAGAAGGGAGTAACTATGGCTGTCAGTGTGATACCAAGAACTCAATTTGCTTAACTGTGTAGCCTATATGGGGATAGGATATGGAGAGTAATGAGAGTCATTGACTTTCATTTGATTTTTGTCTGCGCTCATGTGAGTTCAGCAACCTCGACTTGCATTTTTCCTGGATTACGCCATGACGTTCATAGTTGTTATAGAATTATTATTCAATATTCGCTGATGGATTGTGCATATTCTTTATTTGCTCCCCTGAATCTGAATGGATGGCTTGCTGCTTCTTTTTTTTTTTTTTGTCAGGTCTTCCATTGTTTTGGTCAGTACTTCTGCCTTCACTTTGAAGCTTTCCAGCTTGGCATGGCCCCTGTTTATATGGCATTCCTCCGTTTCATGGGTGATGAGACTGAGGCTCGGAATTATAGCTACAGCCTTGAGGTCGGGGGACATGGCAGGAAACTGACATGGGAGGGCACCCCACAAAGTGTTCGAGATAGCCACAGGAAAGTCAGGGATAGTCATGACGGTCTCATTATTCAACGAAACATGGCACTTTTCTTCTCTGGTGGGGATAGGAAGGAGCTGAAGCTAAGAGTTACCGGGAGGATATGGAAGGAACAACAAAATCCAGAAACTGGAGTGTGTATACCCAACCTTTGTAGCTAAGGCAAAGTGATTTTGAAGACATTTACACTATCTGTGTGTTTGGGACTGTTGCGTGTTGTCCCATCCTCTTCCACCTTTCTCTCACATGCTGTAATGGATTGAATTAATGAAACCCCCCATTGTTTTTTTTTTTTAAATAAAATTGTATAATAAACAGCCGTTCTTCCATGAACTTTTGATAGTACAAAAAATAGGCTTTCAAGTTAGACTGGATGAGGTCAATTACAGGATCTAAAGACTATCCTAATAAGATAATTTTTTATACCACTCGGAGTAAAAGCTGCCTATCAGGTTTAATTATGGACATTAAAGTTTCGTTGGGAAGCAACTGGCAATACTCCCTGACTCCTAAGCTCCGCGAGGGGAATTCTTAAGCAGACTTGCAGGCACGGCTATGTTCTCAGTGCCAGGGAAATTGTGTTATCTGGTTTCACCTCCTCCAGGTTTGCGTCAGCTTCTCCAAGCAGATAGCTTGGGTTTTTTCCTCTTTTACTGAACCAGCAGAGGAAAAAGTCAAGTGTGTGCACTTAAACTATCATCGTTCTCCTATACTATACATGTTCAG